TTAGGCCACTTACAGCGAGCGATAAAAACAAGGGCTTTATAGCTCAAGCTGTAGAGACTCCTGCACTAAGCTCCATAGATCCCAGGTTCAAATCTGCCCGGTGGTGGTTACACCTCGCTCGGTTTAGTGCCAGGATGCCCTGGGTTGAGGAAGCAAATTGCAGGCTAGGATGAGCTGCGTTGCTCTGCATCCAGGTGAACAGCTAGGCACGGCTTTCCCTGGTCCTCTCCCGTCACTTACAGAATCCTGTCCATAGTGTCACATCTGCCTGACAGTCATTTGCAGACTGACTATTAGAAGGGGGCTGGATGATGCTTCTGCCAAAACAAAGCAGCTGAAGGGAACCAGGGATGCCTGCTGATAGTCTTGGAACTTTGGGATCACACTGGATTTGCGCTTTGGGTTTAAGGCTTACGGGGGTGGAGAGCCGGATGGAGCAGAGATGGTATGTGTAAAACACTCCCAGATTGGGCTGTCTAGCATTGCACAAACCAGTCACCTTCCCCCAGGGCTCTCGAGGGTTAAATAAGGGGGGACAGGCATTGCGAGGGAGAATGTGCGCCAAGGCCAGCATTGATTAGGCTGCTCCGGATGTCAGCCCTGATGACTTTTTCCTGTTCCTTTAGAGCTGATGCTTTCAAGGGCTGCAGGGATGAATGGCCTGATGCCCGCTGGCACCGGCATGGGCTGCAGCAAACGGGTTGGTGCCTTGGCTCTGCTACTGGTTCCTTGGATGTCCATGGGCACATCACTTAATCTCCCTATGCTCTAGCTGTCCATTTAAGCATATGCTTCCTGACCTCCCAGCGGGATTGTGCAGACCCGCCTGAGGGGGGTGGAGTAGTTGCCCCAGGGCTCAGTGACTCCTGGTCGCTGCCTCTCTACTGTGGTAGCAGTGGCAGTCTGAGCCCTGGGCCCCTTAAATTGCCTCTGGAGCCCTGGCAGTGCTGAAGGCTGGGTGGCAGTGTGGTGCGCTCCAGGTGGCACTGGGGGCTGGCTGCCCTAGCCCTGCCCCTTGTGGCACAGAGGCCCCTCCCTCCCCCCGACTTTGCCCAAGGGCCCCGCCAGTCTGCCGGTTTGCCTGAGACTGAGATTAAATCCACTCATGGTTAAGAACATGAGTGGGCACCAGATAAACTCCTAGAGAGGAGAAGAAAGAAGTGGTCCTTGATTTCAATGGGAGCCAGGGACCCAAATACCTTGGCAGAGCTGAGCCATGCAGCTTCATTCATTTCCCAAGGGAGCAAGGCCAGGGGTTGAACGGGTCGTGGGACTGCACGACTTTCTCTCCCAGCACGATGATTCCTGCAGCTGAGGGGCCGCGCCGGTGCAGCATGAATGCAGCATGCGTGGCTGATGCCAAGACTGCATCGGCTGCAGATGGAGAGAGGACACCTGTTTCCAGGGATCTGTCACCAGCACAGGAATGAACTCAGGGGCCAAGAAAAAATAGGGTTAGAAACCAAATAAATAAATAAATGGACTTCTGCCCATCCAAATCCAACAAAAAATAACACCAATTACTTTTATTTGGTGGACAGCTGTGCAAATTTATTACAGTCTAACACACACCAAATGTAAACAATATTCGCACTTGGAATTCAAGACTCTTTGGGGTCAGTACCTTAGACAACTCCCGTTACACACACACACCCTTTTCTTTGAGGAGAGGCTGACGGGGCTGCACGCACACACCCCCACACACATCCACACCCACACCCCCCTTTTCTTTGATGAGAGGCTGACAGAGCTGCTCCACCCCTACAAATAGCCACGCTTTCTTCCCAACACACACAAGATAAATATCTCTTGTTAATGAAGTTAATCAAGAGGCTGGAATTTTCCATAGGGAGGGTATTTAGCCTGTTAGGCGTCCACCAAAAATAATAATAAAATCGCAGGAACACCACCACCATTCTGTTTTGTTTAAAAGCCCAACCAACAAACCCCTGCTTTGTTCAAAGAAATCAACACATTGATTAAGTTCATTAACGTCCCATCTTGATTTTATTGTCCATTGGCCTTTGAAAAATTGGTCTTTTTTATTTATTTGTATTTATAAAATAACCCTATTTTACAAAGATTTACAGCTCCAGACGTGCCTGACATTGAATAAAGCTGGATTTGGTGATTCCGTTAAATATTAAACCACAATGATTTTGTCTCTCAAAAATAGAACCAAAAAAGGGTCCACACGACAATAAACCCTCCTCCCCTCCAACTATAAGATAAAAGAATAAGAAAATATTAATAAAAGGCCATTTATTTACTTTAGATGGCCACGGGAGGTGGAGAAATCAGAATGAGGTAATTAATGGACCCTAATATTAAGTACAAAAAATGGCGCAAACCACCCCCTTCCCTCCCTCCTTTGGTCTTCCGGATCCTTCCCCTACCACAATCCAAGATATCTGAGCATTTATATAGATCTGTGTGAAACTAAATCCCCATTGATGCTTTTTATTCCCCTTGTTTGGATTTGCTCCGTTTGGCCAAGCGCTCTCTTCGGACCAGAAGAAATGGATGGTTTTGATATCCAAGCCTACCGCCGTGTCGTTTATCTTGTTTTCATGTGTTTGGAGTTCCCCATTTCTTTGGTTCCCAGCTCCGGCCTGGCCGTGTCTTGATGGGTTTTGCCAGGTTGGTTTATAAAAGTGTCTTTTCCCCGAGAATGCCGGCACAGGTGGCTCAGTATGAAGGTCCTTTCACGGTACCCGGTTCGGTCAGGCGCCCTGAGGTGAATGCAGAGGCTCCTAAGCAGGCGGCTGGCTCGCAGAATCCAGGAAGACCAGCAGGCCTTCCCAGCTCCGGCCTGGCCGTGTCTTGATGGGTTTTGCCAGGTTGGTTTATAAAAGTGTCTTTTCCCCGAGAATGCCGGCACAGGTGGCTCAGTATGAAGGTCCTTTCACGGTACCCGGTTCGGTCAGGCGCCCTGAGGTGAATGCAGAGGCTCCTAAGCAGGCGGCTGGCTCGCAGAATCCAGGAAGACCAGCAGGCCCAGGGAGACCAGGCCGGCCTGCCTCTCCAGGGGCTCCAGGAGACCCTCGCTCTCC